CGCTGGATGCTGTTTCACGCCAGTGATATCGGCATGCGATATGTTTCAAGAGGCTAGTGGTCGGCGATGGGCGTTGTTTCTGGTTTGTTTATTTTCTTGGCTTGCCCTGGAGGTTGGTTCACGACGCACGAGCCGCCATTCCTGTTTGCCACAGGTCATGATGTCCGCATGCTTGGGTCGCCAGGCTTGGACAAGGAGGCGATGTTGACGGTTACTGAGAGCGGATGGGTTTACCCAGGCGGATCGGAGCATATTGTATGCCGATTTTTTGCATGGTTTTCCACAGGTTTGTAGATACGTCTACGCCTAGCCTCTCGGGATTGTGATTACCAGAAGTTGCTTGCGTGCCCCTTTTCAAGAATAAATTGTGCTTGGTGGCTCCCACTGCGGTATTGAATGACCCGGTTAGCGGCATGGGGGTTGACGAGAAAAAGTTCTCGGCAAGGATACATGTTGCCACCCGGTTGCGCCGACGCGCATAAAGAGTGGCCAGCAGCTAAGCGCAGCACGCGTCTTGTGATCGAGGCGCGTGGCGCACGGCGTTGACGTGGCAATTGTTGGGGAGACGTCTTCACGACCAAGAAGCGCCCGAGGCTGCGCCCGAACGTGCACTGGTGGCGCTCGGTGCCATGTCCTCCGGCGCGCGCCCCAACGCCTTCAAAGTGCTCTCGCCCGTGTCGACCTTCAGTCTTTCCTTGAAGCTAGTTGGGTAGCTGGCTGGACTGGCTGACCCCTCGACACTCGAGACGGATGCGATGTACCCCTTGTTGACCCTTGGCCTCGCTAGGCACGCCATGCAGGGGGGGGGGAGGCGTGTGCAGCACCGGCCGCAGCTTTTCTGAAACAGCTGGCGCCATCGCGATATGCTGCACAATGTCGCCACATACACACAGACACACACACACAGACACACACAGACACACACACACACACACACGTTTTGCGTCGGCGGCTGGGCAGGGGACGTCTGCGCTGGCGATGGGATGCCTGAACGGGGATGCCGCTAGAGCGACTGTGTCCCACCATGCAAGAGGAGGAGCGGGGGCAGGGCGCGGCCGAAACAGGGGCGGACGGAGCGAGCTGCTCAGGGGTGGACGGATCGCTCCCCGAGCGAGCGGCGCGGCCAGCCTGGAGATTCCCAGGACGGCCCCCGAGCGCCCCAGGGCGGCCCCCGACGAGCTCAGAGATCCTCAGCGGCCCCAGCGCGGTCAAACAAATTCTAACCGAAGAAGAACAATCCACACAAACATGAACTTTTGGCGCCCCGCGCGGATTTCTTGCATCCGCGCTGGGCCCCCCTGGTGGCGCCTCCTGCGCCGCCCCTGGCGCGCTCCGAGGGGGGCCCAGCGCAAGTCCAAGAAATCCGCGCGGACCGTCAAAAGGTAATGTTTCTGTGTTTCTTCCTTTTCTAATAAAGGCCTTAGGAAGTTTTGCAGGGTGCGCCACAGGGCCCAAGAGAGGCCCTCGACAAACTGCTTCAAGAGGGCTTCTCCACGACGGCCCAAGGCGGCCCCACGAACGCCCAAGAGGGCCCGACAGAGGGCCCGACGACGGCCCAGGTTAGGCTTGGCCCGAGATGGCCCCAAGAGATCATAATGACCCAAGAGGGACCTGAGCGAGATGCGGGAGGCGACATCGGAGCCTGGCTGCATTCCCGGCCTGATACTGCGCGTGAGAGAACAGGGCGCTGTGGGATTAGGACGTTCAGGCCAGAGCCCGCCAGGATCCCCCCAAGGACCAATCCAAGAGGCTCGGCGAGATGGCCCCAAGAGGGACTCAGAGAGTCCCAGAAGTATCCACGGCAGCCCCAGGCCAACCCTGATACGGAGCGTGACGATCCAACGGGGTCCCTCGGGGACCCCCCAAGAAAGTGCAGGACAGCCCTGAGTAGCCCAGGAGCTCCGAGGCGCTCCAGGGCATCTCCAAAGTGCCCAGAGGTGCCCCCAATACAGGCCAGAGGAACCCGAAGATGGCCCCCCAATGTTTCCAGCCCCACGACGGCCACTCGCATCAAAAACATATCCGCAATGCTTTCAGCCTCCTCGCCTCTCCGGCCCAAGACGGCTCTAATATTGATCGTGACATCTGTTGTGCGTGGGTTTCATCCATTCGTTACCTTAGTCAGCTACGAAGCTGTTACCGGCGCGTGCGATAAAAGCGAGCGTGGTATGCAGTTTTTGTGGTTGCTCAGCGACCTGAGGGGCTCGATGTGGTAGCTGAGCGGCATCTTCTCCTCTACTTTGCTGGGTAAGTCTGTATGCGAAGTCACCGCTTCAATGATTTGATCGGTTCCGTCATGGTTCGGCCATGTTTGGGTCCGATCGGGATCTGCTACTTGTCGGCACGTCGGAGGTTCCGTCGACTGCCCGCCCAGGCGGGCCAAGTCGGATTCCGCCGCCAGTCGGAGCGTATTGAGAGCGCCCCAGCACTATCTCTCCACACTGCCGTGCCGCCAACAGGCTTGTCGTCTCTGCTGTTTCGTTGCGCTATGCTTCACTTTGTCTGCCGTGCCGTTCCAGGACCATCCTTAAGTCGGGCATGCCCCTCTACAGGAGGAATACTCCAAAATAGTCTGGGGACGATTTTTGACAATTTTTGACTATTTGGTGAATGTTTCGACTATTTGTTTGTTTCGTCCAATATCCGCCTGTAGGGGGACATGCCCGACCTAGAAGAAGGTGAGCTGTGCTGGGTGTGGACTGCAAGACCTCATTTTTCTACGAGTCTGACCATGCGGCTCCTACAACGGCTGCCCCGGCGCTCGCGGAGGAGCCGATCGGCGGCAGCGGACCGGCCCCCTCCGGCGACCCTTGCGAGCCCCAGCAGGCCCCGGCGCGCTTCCACGATGGCCCAAGAGCGTTCCGAGACGCACTAGGAGGCCCCCAAGAGGGCCCCCAGACGGCCGAAGACGGTCCAATCTGATCTCCGAGACACGCCCAGAGCGCTCGACAAAGCCACACACAGCCTCCAGACGGCCCAAGAGGCTTCCAAAACGCTCCAAGTGAGTTCCACGACGAGCCCAAAGAGAGTCCGAACTAAGAAAAATCGTCCCAATGAGGCGCCCCAGGCGGCCCACGGGGTACCCAAGACAGCTTCAAGAACGGCCCAGGACGGCCCAAGACGACTCCCAGACGGTCCCCTCACTGCTCCAGAGACGCCCAAGACGGCCCCAGACAACCCCCAGACGGTCCCGACAACGCCTCAGACGGCCTCCAGACGGCCCAAGAAGCTTCCAAAACGCAGTTCCAGGACTTGCCCTCTTGATGGCGTCCAAAACAGTCTTACAGGGTCCCAAGATGGCCCCAGGACGGTTCCTGAGGCGCCCCTGGCGGCCCAGGACGGCCCTAGACAACCCCCAGACAGTGCCCAGACTGCTCCAGAGACGCCCAAGACGGCCCCAGACAACCCCCAGACGGCCCCGGACGGCCTTCACACGAGGCACCCGAGCCCAAGCGGGTCCCAGGAGGTTTCCAGCAGCCCGAAAAGAAGAACTGAGAGGCTCCTAAACGAGCCCCAGAGGTCCCAAGATCACGGTTCAAGAAGCAGCGAAGACAGCAAAACAAAAAAAAAAACACCGAAGACAGCACCAACAGCAGCCACAGACGCCCTGCAGACGGCCCGAAGACGGTCCCCAAATTGCTCCAAGCGCGCCATGGGCCGGTCCCAAAACCTGGCCGGCGGGCGGGTGGCCCCGAATCGGGCCGCCCCAGAGGCGCCCGCGCCGTTCCGGGACGCGCCGGGCGGGACTCTGGGCTTCAGGAGCGAAAGAAGGACGTACATGTACATGAATCCACGCTGGTTTCGAGAGCACGCATTGCGCAAATGTTCGTATCACGCGGCCGGTCTCGCGGATCGAGGGGCCGTGTTCATGTACATAGCTGGGCGCGTACGTCCTTTGTGGGCTCCCTAAGAATCGGCCCGCCGATTCTGTGCTGGAAGGCTGGTGGCCCAGAATCGCCCCGGCCGAGACCAGAAGCGCGCGCGGCCGCCCAGGGCGCGCCGGGCGGGATTCTGGGCCGGCGGCGCGGTGGCCCAGAGTCGGTCCCGCCGATTCTGTGCTGCGGGCTGGTGGCCCAGAAACGAGTAGGGCCCACCCCGGGGGCGCGAGAACTGGCCCAGGATGCGCTGCAGGGCGGGATTCTTAGCTTGCTGCGCGGCGGCCCAGAATTGGTCCCGCCGATTCTGGGCTGGCGGGCCTGCGGCCCAGAATCGTCCTGCAGGACCCCGGAAGCGCCCGCGGTGGCCCTGGGACGCGCCGGGCGGGATGCTGGGCCGGCGGCGTGGCGGCCCAGAATCGGCCCCGCCGATTCGAGGCCGGCGGGTCGGGGGTCCAAAATCAGCTTGCTGGCTCCAGAGGCGCGCGTGGCCCTGGGAGCGAAGGGCAGGACTCTGGGACGGCGGGCAGGAGGGGCGCCCAGAATCGGGTTGGCTGGCTCCGGAGGCGCGAGAGGCAGCCCATGGCGCACCGGGCGGAATTCTTGGCTGGCGGCGCGGTGGCCCAGAATCGGCACCGCCGACTCTGGGCCGGCGGGCTGGTGGCCCTCAATCGGGCCAGCCTAACCTTGCAGCCCGTGTTAGCCGCCGCAAGAGCCGCCGCCGTCGTCGTCGTCGTCGCCGCCGCCGTCGTCGTCGTCGCCGCCGTTGTCGTCGTCGTCGTCGTCGTCGTCGTCGTCGTCGTCGTCGTCGTCGTCGTCGTCGTCGTCGTCGTGGTGGTCGTCGTCGTCGTTTTCGTCACCGTCGTGGTCGTCGTCGGCGGCCGCCGCCGGCGCCGTCGTCGGTGTCGTTGGGGGCTCGTTGGGGGCTCCCAGACGGGCGAGCAGTGCTACCTGGCGCCCCCGCAGCTCAGCGATATGCGGCAGGCAAGCATGACGCCATTCATCCTGCTCGCCTTGCGGCAGCACCCCTTTCCCCCGCAAGCGGACGTAGCCCACGGGCCAGCCCGTGTCAGCTACAACGCCGCGATCAGCGCGTGCGAGAAGGACGGACAGTGGCAGCAAGCGATGTCCGTCCTCGAGCAGTTGTGCGACGATAGATTGGAGCCCGACGTTGTCACCTGCACCGCCGCGGTCAGCGTGTGCGCTGCGGGCGGGCAGCTGCAGAGGGCGGGCTCGCTGTTTCGAGAGCTCCGTCGGGCGCGCGTGGCGCCGAACGTCTTCTCTTACAGTGTTGCGCTGGGTGCCTGCGAGATCGGCGGGCAGTGGCAGCAGGCGCTCTCGCTCCTGGGGGAGCTCCGCGACGCCGAGCTGGAGCCCAACGCCGTCTGCCTCGGCGCCGCAGTCGGCGCGTGCGAGAGGCGGGGGCGGTGGCGGCAGTTGTCCCCGCTGCTCAAGGAGCTTTGGGGCGTGGCGTTGTAGGCCAGCGCCCACCTGCCAAGGCACCAATCGTTGGCGAGCGAGGGGGGAGTGAGAAGGAGAATACCTTCTCAGAAGGCGGCGGGACCTCTCAGACGCCCTCACGCCTTCTGAGACCGGGGGACTTCCGAACCTTCTCAGAAGGCCCGCCCCTTCTCACCTCCCCCCTTCGCTCGCCGCCGAGCTAAAGCGAGCGCTTGGGAGGCATGCGGGCAGCAGCAACATCATCCCATCGCCTTCCCCTGTCCTCCTCTCCAGAGGACCGTAGAACTACGTAGGTTCTCCCTTCTCAGGAACCTCCAATATTATTCAAGACGGCGCCTGCAAGGTAGATGTCCCAGCAGGGCCTACGAGAATCCGAGATGACCCCGAACGGGCCCAAGAGGTCATGAAAGGGTTGGCCTCACGAGGGCACCAAGACGGTCAGAATAGTCTTAACTCCCATGAGGTTCAGGAGGGAAAAAACACATACACATACACAATTAATCGACGATTCCCAAGACAAGATGGGAGATTATGGACGATGGGGGGAAGACGATAACACAGAATATATATATATATATGTGTATATGTGAAGATGTGGGGAATCCTGGGATTTGTGTGTATTCATTGGTGTCTCCCAGGGCCCCTTCCAAAGGTTAGGCTCGGTGCGGTGCCCTATCGACCCTCTCCTCTCTTCGGCACGCTTGCGCGGGAGCGTTTCGGGCGAGTTCGCCTGGCCTGTCGTTCACTTGACGTGTCTCGCGTTGCGTTATAATGTCTGTCGGAGGTGGATCGGCCTCCTACCCTGACACGCCGGTTAGCGAATTGGCCGCTTTCGGTTCGCGAGAGGGCGTCGCGGCCGTCATTTTTGCGGGTCCAGGTCCGTCGGTTTCGGTCCCAGGCCGTTTTCATTGAAGGGTGGTTTACTAAAGGGAGGTTTGTCCACCGCCGACAGAATATGTTTGTATGAAGTGCCCGGATGTTCGTCGAGCCCCAGGTCCATAATTGATATCTTCAAGAGGGCCGAAGGGGCGTCTGGAGGGGCCAAAGACTCAAGGAGGTCCGAGGATGCCCCGATATTGTCGAAAACGATTTCAAGATAGGCCAAAACAACCCCACAGGCGCCCAAGGCGGCCCAAACTGGCATCAAAGGACTCCAAGAGGCCACAAGAGCCACCCATGAGACCCCGTGAAAGAGGAGGAGCCCCCCAATGGCCATGTCAGGAAGAGGAGGAACGGAGAGAGACGGCGAACGATGAGTGAAAGGATCAGCAGAAGGGGAGGAGTGGAAGGGAGAGGAACGGGGATAGGGAGTGGGTTATCTACCTAATCATGGGGTGCCATCAAAGCGCGAATATGACATCACAGCGAACATACCATTAGAGTGCGTGTTAGTAGACAAACACAGCACCTGCGACGCACTGCAACACATATCTTGCACGCATTCGCTTTCGTCCCCAGTTCTTACATGCATTCTTCTCAGAGTCTCCATGCTTAGCCTCTGCATGTGAGCTCGGCCTGGCGAGAACGCGTGGGCAAGAATCTACAGCCCCGATTCCAGCCATGGCTCATTCGTAAGACGATTTGGGGTTCCCCCTTTTGGTGCCAGTTGCTCTGTGGTGAAATACGTCGGTCGCACCAATGAGTGGCAACATCCTTGCTCCGTTCCCCCTCTCGTCCTTCTTGTCCGCCATTCCCTCCTGTCTCTCTCTCTCTCTCTATCTCTCTCTCTCTCTCCTCCGTCCTCCGTGTCGGCCTCCTCGTCCTCCTATTCCTCCTCATCCTGCGTATGCTCCTCATCGTTGTCCTCCTCGTCCTCCTCACCCTGCCGCTCGTCCCTCCTCGTCCCGCTCCTCTTCCCTTTTCCACTGCCACAACCTGCCCGTTGGTTCTCCTCCCGCCCCACGACCGCTATCCTTCCGTGGTGTCATTTTGTTTGTTTGTTGTGTGTGTTGGTGCGTTCAGGCAAGCCTCTTCCACCAGGGGGCTCAGTGTAGCCCCATTGCAACAGGCGAGTTGGGCTCGTCGCTTGCGTTTCATCCACAATGCTGAGTGAAATGGGCTCGCAAGTGCCAAAAGCAAGAGTTCGCGGCAGAGGTGTCACTTCGCCGACGGTGGAACAACCAGTTGTTTCTCCCAACTAACTTGTTGTAGGGTCCTCGTTTTG